TTCAAATACACCATCATCATTGTCTTTTTTTTTTTTTTTTTTTTTTTTTTTTTTTTTTTTTTTTTTTTTTTTTTTTTTTTTTTTTTTTTTTTTTTTTTGCCTGGATTAGCAGCTATATTTTATAGCATTATTGAACATCTTCTATTCCTCTAGCTTCCATAAAGACAGAGTTCTTCAATTTCCCTTCCAAGGACTCTGGTTCTCTGCCCATTTCCCCATTGCTACAAACATGCAGCTGGGTCCACCAGAGGAAACTCCATGACAAACTTAGTAAGTGAAAGACTACAATTACTTTACTTGGTCAAAATAAGGTTTATACCATATAAAATAGACAAGCATGAGAGAAGTGAATACAGTTCTAGACTACAATTAATAGTAAAGATCAGCTATAAATATTGTAGTATCTTTACTAGATCGTGGAGAAACTTGGCCTTCCTTAGCATGTCCCAGAGAGTTCAGCTCCTCATCCCAAGGACTGTCCTGTTCTTTAGGGATAAAAAGAAATGCATATGCTGATCACCTATTCCTTCTTGCCACAGGGTGAATTCATCTAGCTTACTCTCACAGCAGTGTGGCAGTGTAGCGAAGTTTCCATACCCCAGTCCTCCTCAGATTTTTTTCACTGCCATTTCCTGTAGGCATATCCAATAGGCCCAGCTTTCCTGGCATTCCTCACTTCCTATGTTATGGTTAAAATGAAGACAAAGTGGGAAGACAGGGGTTTTATACTCGTGATTTTAGAAGCCATCACCTCCTTGAAGAATGCCTTCCAACTGGAGGTAGGTACAAAGCTAGACTGAGTAGGGAATGTTTGGTGAAAAAATTTATGTCAATATTTTGGGGTCAGTCATAAACTCATATATACTTATTATGGATTACTGTTCATGGTAACAGAGCCCTGGGGTTGGAGTGGGAGTTTTCCTCCTGATTGTCCCAAGGTCAGTTAGGAAACCAATAAAATCACTGATGGTTTTGGACACAAGTCAGAGGGGTAAAAGGTCACAACACCATGCTAAATGTCTTATACAATAATGCATTTCAGCTAGCAATTTTTCTCTGTGTCCTAAATTTCTGGAAAATCATCATAAATGTTGTGAATGCTTTATCAGCCTAAAGAACCTGCCAGGAAAGGTAGCATCTGGGGAAAATGCTATGCATGCATTTTGCTGAAGGAATGCACTCATATGTTGTGTAGTTGTGTCCAGTCTCCTGCCTGTCTGAAGCATGGAATAGTTTTGTTCCTTATTTGATAGGGTCCAGGCTTCTTATTTGAAGTTCTTTGACATTGTTTCAAGTTGGAAAACAGTCTTTATTCTGATAATAACAATATTATCAGATAACAACACAGACATATCCAGCACTGGATTGTGCAGGCCTTTTGCTGCAGAGTGCTCCTGGAGTCAGCTGCCAAGAAAGGACAGAAAGTGACATTTTGGCTTCATTAACTCAGTCTGACTTACCAGCCTGAAGTTACCCTACTGATTTTAACAGACTAGCCAGAGCACAGGGATTGAAGTTAGACAAAAGTATTTATGATCCCAACTGAGCCTTTTGCAGACCAAGTAAATGAACGTAATGGCCCGGTGCAGAAATACAGCTATTTTCCGAATTCTATATGGTTTCAAACACTAAGAAAATGCTTTTCATCAGTGGAAAATCCATAGACCAACAGAATTTCAGACACATAACTCTTCAGAATAAGCTTTCATCTTACAAGTTTTGAGAAATGAAGTAATGTGCTCCTTTCCCTTTGCTTCCTTGAGTCACAATGATGTATATAGCATAGATATTTTTTGGCTGGACTCAAAAAAATAATTGAAAGAATCTAAGAACCAGATTCCGCTTCCACCCTCAAACATATACATCACTACCTGTGGGCTGAATTGTCATTCACTTTGTTCAGAATACAGTGAATTAACTTTAGACTACATTAGACTGCAGTCCTGAAATGAAGCATGCATGATTGAAGAGCAGCTACTGAAGAGAAATTGAGTGAAGTCAGCAGGGTCTCAGATGAACACAGGAATGCATCCACATATACTGAGTTCTTGAAAAGCCACTTTTTCCTGTGGCCAGATATGCAGAAAATGAACATTTTCAGAAATGAAAAAGATGCAGAATACGAATGGGAGCAGAGGCATGTGCCAGAAACACCTCAGTTTTTTTACTCTATTTAAAACAGGGAGCGAAAAATAACTTTGCTGCTGGGTGCCATGCAGTGACATTTCAGAAGCTGTCCAGTATACCCAGGCTAGATGAACCCAGTGCTAAATGCTTCTAGCATGGACACAGAACCCACCAAGGCTGCTTCTCTTCTGCAGCTCAAAGGATGTGAAGGTGAGTAGAGCATTCTCTCCTGCATAAGCAAGTGTGGAGGAGCACCATCTTTCTACAGCCCTCTCACAAGCCAGTAGGGCTGTTGGGCTGATCCCATTTACCTATTTGTCCTCACTGCACTTCCTAGTAAAGCAAGGGCAGCTTGGATTTTTCAGGGTCCTGCCGCCTGAGGCCTTGAACTGTTTCATTTCTGCAACACAGACACTTCTAACTGACCTCTGATTGCTCATGCCACATTATTGATGGCATCTGTTCTTCAATTTGTTTCAAAATAAAAATAAAAAAAAAATTACAGTCCTTGGCAAGGAATGAGAGAGGCAAGAATGGGAAAAAAGAGTGGAAACAGAACCACTGGAGAGGGCCTTTTTAAAGGCTCTGGCCTGGAAAAGAATAACTAAGGATTCTTTTCATATCTAAAAGACAGTCAACACAATTAAGGCTTAATTTGCTTTTTTAGTTGCTCAATCTGCATCAAAGTCACATCTGTGCAAGTGGAGTTCAGAGCAGCGAGTAATGACAGTTATATACACATAAATCCTTGACAGATGCAAACCAAGCACAGGCTGCAAAACCCCTGGATGCACACTTTATGCTGAAATGGGTCTGGTCTCTCATTGAGGAGGGTCAGGCTGCTGCATTTCATTTCCATTTACAGTATCATTACACACACACACCATTCATTTGAATGCTGGTCTGCTTTAAAAGCAGCTTTAAGACCTGGCTGTGAGCATGGGCAGCTCTTGCAGCCTCCTGTTTCCCTTGGACTGCTGGAACAGTGCAGAGAAGTGTAGCGTAAATGAGAGCTAACGTGCAAAACCATACCTTAATTGCTAATCTCTGCAGTTTCACTTGACAGCTACACAAATCCCATGCTAGAACTTAAGAGACACACTACACAGCAGACAAAGAATTACAGGCATTTCTTAGTCTTCTAGACTACAGGGTGGCTTTGTGGTTGTTCAAAGCAATAGCAAATTGACACAGGAGAAATGTGCATAGACATGAAATAAACTCTTGATTTTTTTGGTGTTTCATGGCAAATAATAGTATCACCTAATATTGGAAAACTAACGGTGTCTTTAAAATTGAACATAAGCCCAACACCTATTTTTGCATGTGTTTTTGTCATCACAGTGCAAAGGCAGAAGTAAAGAGATTTCCAGTTATCCACAGCCTGTCACAGTTTAGTTGCTTTCAGCAGGCACCACTACCAACCTGGAGCTGTACAGGTGATACTCCCCAGGCTCAGCTCCTTTTGCCTTAAGAAACAAAGTGAGTGAATTGAAATAGGCAATTATCCACCTCACATGTCCTTTGCAGTCAGGGAAAAGGAGGAGGGATGTCTTGAAGGTGTTCCAATGTCTTAGGTGAGCTGAGTTACTGTCTGAAGGGCTTCATAATCCAGAGACTATGCATGGATCAGAAATTAACTGGGTACCTAAATCTTTGCTCAGATAAAATGTAACCAATTTAATTTAATAAATCCAGGCATTGGGGACTGCAGTAGGGATTATTTATGGGAATTCAGTGCTCTGAACTGACTCAGGAGCTGGAATCTAGTGAAAATATTCTGACCTATTCACTGAAGATTTTAGACAAGGAAAGCTCATCACATGTCAAAATACAGACTTGCAGAAGGCTTAACAGGAGTAATGTAGATAATATACATTTAAATGGTGTAAAGAAGAGGAAGTAAAGGTTTGTGGTTTGAACCAAGTGTTGATGAACATAATTACTGTCATTATCAGGAAAAACATTTAAATAAAAGAAAAACAACTTTTCCATAGAGATAATTGTAATGCTTTTATTTTGCAAATGTACTGAAGAATTGTTTTTCTGTAAAGACATACAGAATGTCTTCTGTAAAGACATACAAAATTGTTTTTCTATAAAGACATATGCTCCAATTCCACCGTTTCCATTTTCTTAAATAGCTATGAGTTTTGAAATTAGTTTAATGAACAGGGGGGAATATATGTGGAGATGTCAAACTTATTTTTGTCATAAACCACATGATTCCATTTACCACTAATCCTCAAATAATTGACCTGGGGCCACCAAGATCTTGCAGAACCTTGCTGGTACTTTATAGAGAACAGGCTGTTCACAAAATTTTAACTGTTCTCTTTCTAGCCATTTGAAAAGAAAAAATACATTAAATACTTCCTTAATACATACTTTTCCATACTGGCAGTTGCTGAGGTTACCACAGGATTGCTTTGGTTCTTTGTATTTTTAAAATTACATATGGAAGGGCAGTGATCTAGGACATTATTTCCCTACTAAGATGTGCTTAAAACTGTAGAAAACTTTATTGAAACCCTGCCTTGTTAAATGGAGAACAGATCCTACAAAATTCAGCATTCTACAGCCTACACTTGGCTAAAATATAAATGGTTTTATTTTCCTGAGAATTGCATTCTGTTCTACTTTGAGTTAAATCCATATTTGCCTTCTAGTACTAGTGATGTGCCTGTTACTTGGCAAGCATTGACATGATTGTCATTTCCCCACTATGCCAGATTGTAAAGCATGGAAGAGATGGGACAATATAAGGGTCTGCAATAATGATACAGGGGTGTCCCATATTGAGCCATTCTTTGGTTTGGCAGAGAGAAATGAAGTCTACTGCTAAGATCTGCCTTGTATGTTTTTGAATGTCCTTGTCTTAGGAGAATGTCCAGAGATATCCATAGCAGCCTGAAATAAAAACTCACTACATGCAAATCAAAAAAAGACCTTAGGAAAAAAACTATTGAGAGGGCTTTTCTCACCAAAAAATTAATTACAACTTTACATTACTGAACTCTGATGAACAAAGACATTCCCTCAGATGTGAGGCCCAACTCAAAACACAAAGGAGGAGTACTTATTAAGTACCGATTTTTCTGAGATATTAATTTCTTGCCCTATTCTTTAATCCCTTCTGGTCTGAAAACAGTCTTTCCCCAGATGTTTTTGGAATGTTTCAAAAAAATAAAAGAAAATAAAAAAGAGAAGATATAAACTTTGGCCCTATTAGGGTTAATGTTTTTGCATAGACATATATGACCATAAACTGGTCAACTAATAGAGGTCTTCTGCTAACATTGTGACTGAGAACAGGAAGAATACAGCCACAATAATATACAGCTGTCTACTAAAAGTATTGCATACAGACATCTTTGGCCATGCAGTCTCTTGGCCTTCTGAAAATACGTGAGCTGCATTGCTAGCATGACAAAAAATATAGCAATGTTAAGAATTAGAAAGAGGCGAGTATAAGAAGCTGATATTGATGGGGTACTTCGAGCAGTTGCCACCATCTGTGCCAGCCCTGATCGGCCTTTGATTGACACCCCAGTTTTGTGCTTCACATAAGTGATATCTGCAAAGTCCATAAGATCTTTCATTTCTTCATCTTCATCTACAGGCAACTCTTTTTGTGCTTGAGTCTGTGCCTTTTGTCGCACTTTTCTTTCATTTACCTCAATCTGTGCAAAAATGTCAGGAACGGCATCAACAAATTTGTAGCCTTTGGCTACTTTTCTGTTTTTCTTTGCTCTGCCATGCTGCTGCTGCCTCTGTGAGATCGCAAATATCCTGTCAATGGCCTCCTCTGTCTGTCTCTTATCTGAAAACCTCAGTAGGCGCTCAGCAGTCTTCCTAAAGCTGGCCGTGTTGCGTACACGAGACAGGATCTGCTTCTCAAGCTGCTGGAAGACCGGCTTAAAATGTTGCAGGTTCCTCTCCACGATCCCTACGTAGTCCTTCACTTCTGGCACTGTGGAGCTCCTAATGGCAGAGGCTCGGTCAAAGACAATTTTCTGGCGGTCTGCAATAACCTGTGCAAAGGCAGAGCGGGAGCCATCCTCGACGGGCCACAAGTACACGGCGTAGGCGTGCTCACCAGTGGTCACAAAAACATCCAGCTGCGGGGAATCTCCACGAGCGGTGAAGCTTTGCACGTCCACAGAGGGCCCGATGAAAAGGTAGATGGCCCTCGTGACGGGGTGCCGCAGCAGGGTCGTTACATTCACGTAGTTTGTTCCATTGTAGGGGTAGCCCCGGGGATACATCCTCGAGGCAATGGTGGCTTTCTCACTGTGGCCAGTGTCGTCCATCCAGTACATCTTATATATCCCATCACGGTGCCTAATAAAGGCCCCATGGATATCATCAACAACTGTTTCTTCAAAAGGCACATCCACATTGTGAAAGAAACTGGTTGCTGCCTCCAGAGGGCTGTCATCTTCTAGGTGGATTTGGTCCACTAGCAACAGAAGCTGGGGATGGAGAAGTATAAGGTTTCGTTGCAATTTTCTTAGCTTCAGTTTAGGATTGTATGCACCCACTCCTTCTCCCCGGATAAAAACCACCCCACTTCTCTCTGTGGCGGCAACCACTCGTCCCTGACAGTCACCAGCCAAGTCACGTTTATATTTAAGCCACTTTGAGGAACAGTCTTCTGTAATCTGCCCTTCCCATGGGGAGAAGCAGCTCTTAGACACAGCAGGGGAAAACATCAACACATTATTAAAAAAAGTATATTTTGGCCCATACAGAGCTTCTGTTATGAAAGGTACGCCATTGGGAGCAAAAGTGAAGGAGTTCTGGTCTGGATGTTCGTGGCCAGCATTAAAGTTCCTCCACCCTTTGATCCACTCTTTGTACTTGTTCTTATGAACAATATCGTATATTGCACGTCCTCCCAGCTTTCCTGACTTGAAGGAAAGGAAAGGCCTGTTGATTTCAGCTGGCAAAGCACTTCCATAAGTTACCACTCCCCAGTCCTCAAAATAATGCAGCTTAGGAACCCCATAGTCTGGTGGAGGTACAGAGCGTAAACTTGCATCATACCTGCAAAAAAAAGATGGGAAAAATGGGGTCAAAAATCTGATTCCACTATCAGCACTTGTACAAAACTCAAAAAACCATTCACTAACTACACCAAGGAGTAAGCCAACAATATAAAGCCCACAGTTATGCTTCTGAATAATATAGCTGTAATTGTTATTTAGCATACTAGTCCCTATACAAATTTGTTGTGCGCTTTTTACAGAACAATAGCTGAAAGCATCTGGTCTGCATTTAAAGCAAGCAGTCTTTCCACAGTTCAAGAATTAAGAGTACCACTAGTTTCTAACTAGCCATGTCCTAGATAGTCATAAAACTACCAACTATAACATAGATCTTTAAAAAAGGCAGATTAGACCAGGCTGCAGACACTTTCTAGACATCAGCATTTGTGCCCATTTACTGACTACTTAACAAAGAGAAGAAGAATATTTGTTTCCCCAAAATGATTATTACAGAAGTCTGTAGTCTTCAAACAGAATAGGCAATAAATTAAAAATTAATGAAAAGGCATTTGGAAAGTTCAATGTTTATTATTTGTATCAGTTAATGTATATTATTCTCTTTCTCCAAACTAGACTGAAGAAAAATTTTCATGGTCTTTCTTGTATGAATTGTAAGATATAAGACATTTTGTTTAGAAAGAAGCCTCAATTCCAGAAAATATTAAAATGATTAAAATTTTATCTATGGGAGTTAAAACAACAAAAATCCAACCCAAAACTTAACCTTCTGGCATTGTTTTTAATCAACCAAAATAAATAAAACCATATTAAGCCCACTAACATTTCTGTTAGATGGTTATAGAATCAGATTTATTCTCACAACTAACCAGGAGTTTCTGGCAGGCCCTAGACAGTCCCAGAATTTCCATAGAGACACAGGAGAAAACAGTGATGGGATGATGTTCTAGAGGGGAGATTCTGTATTTTCCAAGTAACAAGATGAAGGCTGCTTGGAGCCTAACAAGGATGCACTCTAATGTGCACATCATAAGTGCAAACCAACAGATTCTCAATAAGATTTTTCTTGCAAAAGAGAAAGAGCTACACTGACTCCTTGAAAATATAGTTATTACCTCCACAAAAAAAGGAAATTAATATGTGGATCTAAAGCTTCTTGAATCTTTTGATTTCTTACTTTTAGAAGATTGACATAGAAGTTAGCATAGCTGTAAATTGCATGGAAAAATATCCATTTAGCCATCTAGCATGGCATATTTTCCAAGCACAACTTGCTAATTAGTGTGCAAATCCTGTTAACACTAGTCTTACTGCTTGCATTAGTCTTAAAAGGAAGTTTATACTATTTTACAGAATTTTTGAATGAAAACTAAGCTTTAAATATTCACCTAATTCATTATGAAAGAACACAACAGGATTAAACTCCATTAGAACAGACCAAATTAAATAAAGAATACATACAGGCAAATTTTCAGTTCCTTTGGAATGGCCTATAGTCTATGAAAGCAATAGACAGTGGAAAGAAACCATAAAAACAGATGTAGGACAAGACCAGGTTGTTCCCTGTGGCAACCTGTGATAAGTGAAGAAGTTCTTCTGTGCCTCATGACGCTGGGTGACACACGGACAGCCTAAGCCTGGCCTGTATGGTGCACATCTGAAAATAATGAATTATCACTAACAGCAAACAGCTGCCAGGTTCCTTTTGAGCCCACTCATTCCCTTTCATACCAGAGAAATTCAGTGTGGAGAGTGCACCACCTCTGCCCTTTGGATGGTGTGCCCGGGCCCTCCACCACTCGGTTCCTTCTGATCTGCTCTGCCAGCCAGTTCCCACTGCCATTGCGCATGACAAACTTGTCGAGAAACACCAGCTGGCTCTCTGGCCCGTAGAACCAGTTATAGTTGGAATCCGCGATGGCCACAGTTCTCTGGAACCCTTGGGAAAAAGCAAAAAGGAGAAAGAACAAATAAGCACACAAAGATGCTTTTGAAGGGCATGCCGTGAAGCCAAGTGGTGCAAACAGAAGCAGCCTTTTCTGATGTTTATAGACCTGCTTGTAAATGAGCCATAAATAGGTTACACAGGAGTGGTTTCCTTCTGCTGCAGCTAACTTGAATATTCACCTTTCTTCTTTGGTTTTGGGCTACAGACAGCCAAAGTACTACACAAAATGTAAGATGCAATCCACTTCCTCTCCTCACTCAAGTCTGACAAAGGTAACTTTTCCCTTTACAGCTTTATGTTTTTATGGGAATCTATACTCTGCAAAGGAATAAACCAGAGGTGCCCCCAATCAATCAGCTTCACCTTGAAACCATCAGTGTGAGTTCATTTTGCTCTTAGGAACCTCTTCCCAAAGAGTGCCTGAGGTCTCACATGGAGACAGGACAATTCCTTATGTACTTGTGCTGGCATACCAAAGCTGCATTCAGCCCCCCTCGCATACATGGATAGATTTGGGGTTCCAAGAGAGTTATCTAAGTTTTTTTAACCTGGAATTTGAGCAAAGTAAGGTCCTAATTAAGTGTCCTGCAAATAAGCAACACAAGGGGCAACAGCTTTAAACTGAAAGAGGGTAGACCTAGTCTAGAAATGAGGAAGAGGTTCTTTCCTGTGGGGATAGTGAGGCACACGAACAGGTTGTGAAGTTGTGGATGCTCCACTCCTGGTAGTGTTTAAGGCTAGGCTGGATGGGGCTTTGAGCAGCCTGTGTTAGTGGAAGGGGTCCCTCATTAATAAGCAGTTACTGTTTTGATAACTGTTGAAGGTAAAACCCAGGGAAATGGTTATTTTGAAAAGAATCTAAGTAGAGTGCTGTTTTAAAATGGCCTATTTAAAGCATGAAATTTATTGCTGCTTCAAAAATAAAGAGATTAATCTTCATTCACCCAAAGGACCTACCAGGCAGGACAGTCCTGTACATAAATGCAAAGTGCTGCTTGAGCCAGGGGTGGCTGAAGTGATTGATGTCAAAATGCCTTTGGACAAGAAACATGTACTGAAACAGTGATCTGGTTGTGTAGCTGCCATAAGCCACCCCTTCATAGAGGGAGCCATCTGTGACCTCCTGCAGCAGGACTACTGACTTCTCCATGATTGCCAGCACTTGCTTGGTCCACAAGTAAGCTTCCTGAAGGTAGCCTGAAAGAAAAAGATGATGGCAAAACTAATTACAACACAATAGTTCACAGATGGTGCTGTCTGTACTTCCACAGTGGGATCCTTCATAGCAAGGAATTTGCAGTTCAGAATCTATACTACAACCTACTGCTGCAGCATCCCTGTACTTCTAAGGTGAAAAATAAAATGCTATATTTAAATGCAGAAAAGCAAGGTCATATGAGCATCAGAAAATCTATCAAACACAATTTTTTGCCAATAATATGGGGTTATGCTTTACAACTTAAAAAGAAAATTTCCTTAACGCATTCAGGACATGCAAAAAAGGAAAGAGCCAAACCAAGACTATTTATTCCATTTCAAATTAAAGCTGTATGAAAACATACCAATGGCCCCACTAGAGGGCTCCAATAATGCAACAATTCTGATCAGTCATTTTTCACTGGCAGATCACCAGCATGGCAAGGAGATCCACAGAGACTAAAAAAGTTAAAAAGTTCACATTTGAGCTGCAGTTAACTGATATGATGATGAGCTAACTCATGCTCTATTTTAAGACTTACTCTGTTCTACTTATATTTTCAGTTTGTTGTACAATCTAAAGGGTTATCCAAATAAAAGGTATTTTGGAAGAGTTTTGCATGGGTAATTCCAAAAGTAGATTCCTCAATTCCAGAATAAAATTAATCTTCCCAGCAGATAAATTCTCAGCATCCACATATACATGACCTATGCAATTTCAGTTTTTCTAAATAAAAGCATTTCAGAAATTTTACTGTTTTGGTCTGCTCTACACAAATCAGGACCTGGGAACTTCTTCCCTGGGAACTTTCTACATGAGAAACCTTCTCAGCACCAGTCTGCTTTCACTAAGCCCAAGCATGAGGGCCTCAGCACCCCATTTATGTATTGCAGAAGTCAGCACTTGGAGTCCAGTCAAGAAAAGGCTTTTTGGATTGAGTAGCAAGAGAGGTAGGACTAAAGATCAACTGCCTCGTGCTTCTACATGGCAGATAGGTGTTCTCCCAGTTCAAAGTATCTGGACACAGACTAAACCAGACTTAATTCCACCCTATAGCAAAGCCCAGCTGGCATATGTTACACCTCACTATGTGGTGAAGCAGTGCCTGGCTGAATGAAGCACATGTGCTAAGGGAGTAGGAGCTTCATTCAATCCTGTTACTCAGTGTTTCATCTCATTGCCACCAACACTGTATTTATGTTCAGCAGAGCGATGAGTAACTCAGGCATCCTGCCAGTCAAGGCTGCCAAATCTTGCTCAGTTAACAGAGACAAAAAAAACCAAAAAAAACAAAAAAAAACCAAAACAAAACCAAACCAAAAAAAAAAAAACAAAAAACAAAAAACCCCAAAAAACCCCACAGTGTCTAAGCAAAACAGACAACCTGAGTCTATCACTTTAAATGTACTTTAAATGCCTGGCTGAAGAGAAAACTGTGATGGGGAAGGCCTGAGCAACAGTGGCAGTGGTACTACTTACTTCTACTTCACTCATAGCTATTAAGACACTCTTTCATTACTCTTCATGGAGCTGGCAGCACAGTGGTATTTCAGAATAAAATCCTGAATTTTTCCACTCCTGTTTTCCCTTGTGACATAAAAGGGAAGCTATGACTGCCTCAAGAATGTTATTTGCCATGGTTCAGCACAGTGCCTTTATCACTGTACTGCATTAATGTTCTCTTTACTTCGGGTATATTTATGCTATAATGCTACACTTGTAGTACACTAAAAGGATAATAATACATTGAAATGAAAATATTAAAAGAATCAACACCCTGTCAGGCTACATGACAAACCAGAAAAAAATCTCACCTAAATTTAGAAGTATATAAGCCATCTATCTATATCTATCAAGGCCTTACTCAAGTTCCTATTTTGAACATCTGAGTGTTTAAGTGCAAAGAGTTTGCCGTACACATGCCTAGAATTAACTTAAATGAGCTTCATTTTTCATTTCTTTGGCAACATTTACATTCTTTTAAATTGGCTGTTTAGACTCTACAAGCTTCAATAGCTGAATTGTGTTTAAACTTACTAGTTGGAATTTAAACCTTCTGTGAGAAAGGTCTACACTGGGATACACTGTTTGCAATTGGTATGTATCTGATACAGAAGCATAACATGTTCATCCCTTTTCTCCCTTGCTTTTTTTTTCTCCTTCAGATTATTTTCATTCATATTGGAATTACAGATTTTTTTATTTTTTTATTTTAGACTAACAGAGAAACCTCATTTAAGTTGCTATTAAAAAAAAGTAAAGTTTCTTTATATCAAAACAATAGCATTTTAATTTAGAAATATACAGTCTATTTTGACCTATTTTCATTTGAAATATTACTACTATTTTCAAATTGCTCAAGAATTCATTAGTTTCTTCCTCCTCCCCCCAAACACCATCAATTTAGTGAAAAAAAAAATATTGCCCAGCTTTGTGATGTTTTCATTGTTTTTCACATGTCATACTTATGGTCTATACCTTAATGAAAAGCAGAATCATCTTGCAAACTGCCAGCTTTCTGCACCAACAAGGGCTTAGGGAAGGCTGGAATTATATGAAATTTAGCAAACCCACTGAATAAACATGGCTTTAGTCTTCAATTTGTGGAAGGCAATACAGGAGGATAGGGAATAACTTCCACACATGCTCTTGATGCTTTCCAACATATACATATTATTCAGTGTGTTTGTTTTGACAAGCACTTAGCAAAAAATGACCTTCTAAAGCTAGCAGGTGCCACGGTTTTTTGTCACATTTCTTTGGGCACTTGAAAACTCCAGTGATGCACAGATGTGCCTCTGTTTGGCAGGGCTGAGCAGCTTGGCAACACCATCAGCATCCAGAAACTAGATTTACTTGACTTGCAGTGTGTAAGCAATTCCATTGGGAATCATGTTTTCAAAGTACTTCTAGCACATATAAAATAATCACTTGATGAATTCTTATGAAATTAATTATGGATTAATTCTTATGAAAGTAGGAGCTGGCTCCGTGACTTCCATCTCTCAGCTGAAGTACCTCTGGGATTTAATGTCAGGATTGCTCATCTGTTTTCTCTCACTCTGTGACTTGCATTCTCCAGCAGGACAGGGACAGCCCCTCGACAGAGCAGGCAAAAGCTACTGGCCAGGGCATTCCCCTTGGAAACGGGAAGGATGCTTTTCTATCCCCAAAGCAAAGAAGAAGAGGAAACCAGGCACAAATGTTGGTTGTGGGGGTGCAATGGCAAAGTTCAAAGAGAAAAAAGTACAGCATTGCTTATCTCCATTGAAGAGGCTGTTGGGAAGAAAGGTCCTAAGCTGTGGGACTTGTAACTTGATAAAGTTATACTTTTGCAACTCCCCCAGGTGACAGAACAGAACTCTTGGATGAAATTCCAGGTTATCCTGTTGTCTGGCTCCTAGGTCAGAGCACTGGACATTTCTGACTGCTGACTTTCACAAGGTTTTGTGTAAGGAGACCAAGTGCAACATTCTACAATGATAATCTACTCCGAAAGATACTGTCCATGAATTGGGAATGGACAAACTGCACACAAGGGGATTTTTAACTCTTATAAACTGTGGGGTAAGAATTTCAGAATCACTTAGCAAACTGAAGTTATATACACATCATGCCTTGTACATCTGCCCACAGACTTTTGTTCTATTCAGTAAATTAAATTATACTAAGCAGCAAAAGAGTAAACCCAATACTGGTGTACAGTAAGAAGCATTTTTATCAAATCCCAAACTTTGCTACATAAGTGGCTGATTTGACTTGATACACTTCAGAAAAAAACATTTCTATGGCTTAGCACATACCTTGATTCATCAGAACCAGGCTTCCAGCCAGCAGGGCCACACAGTTGGTAGGCTGGTGGTTGTGAAGGTACTGGAAGCCCCATCCACGTCTGTATGATGTTTCATACATGTATCCCGAGGCATTGGCAATTACTTCAAGAAATCTCTCCTGTTGAATCTTGCTAAGGTAGCTGTACAAGAAGTCATAAGCAGTGGCAAAACCAACCAAGGAGTGAGCAAGAGGGACTTCATCCCAGGGGGCATCCTTCACTAACCTGTCAATAAATAAAGACAGCAATTAATTGAGTTTCATCTACTTAGTTTTCCCCCTTACTGTACTGTGATATGTATATGACTTAAAGTTTCCAAAGTTAGATGATTCATGTTGAATTTTAACACAGTAGTAAGCTACTTATCAAGTCTCTAAGCTATTTTTTCCCATCCTAAGTATGGACAACATTAATCTTCAGAGCTCAAAAACTTTATTAGAAAGATTAAGTTGCTAAATAATAGAAAAAATATTTGAAATATTCTGGGTTTTGCTAGGAGAAAAATAGGCAGAATATTGGTTGTACAGAAATGGAATCTATTAATTTAAAGTAAGATTAATATAATTTTTGTGATAAAGTAATATGCAATGGTTTATACTCCTCCAACCTCCTGTAAGAAATCTTTTTCCTTTTCCAAATGAGTCAGTTGATGATAAATGGTGCCTATGAGACTAAAGCTGTCTTTGATGCAAGTATAATAAAACAACTCACTGTAATGTTTTTTCATGTCTCAAATGCACTCAAGGACAGAAGTAGAGAAGATGAAACAGTTTTACTACAGCTCAAATTAACATTCTTAATAAAGACTGGGTTTTTTTAATGATAAGATAGAAAAAAGGTAAAATGCTATCAATACTCAAAAACTATTTTCTAGGAACTACTGCCTTGTGTCCAATGATTACACTGAACTTAGCAAAATAGTAAATTTTTACCATGAAAATTTATAATATAGACAGTATGGAGCAAATATTCCTCTTAAATCAGACATATATTGTGTATCAATGACTTTAGTTTTGCAGTACTTACAGTACTTCCAGACAATGGTTCTACAGAAATAAAAATGTGAAGGAATACACAGTGAAAGTAAACTTTTATAAACTGAAAAATTATCAGTTGCTTTCAGGCTTTTATGTTTTCCTCTTTCACTTTTTTTGCAATATATTTTTTATTACAGAAATTAATTTAAATTGTTGACATGAGTGTCTTACTGCAATCAGTAGAAATGGTGGTGTGCTCCTGAAGGCACACACATTCCAGTTTCAGCTACTTTATGACTTGACAAATATGATTTCATCTTCATTTGTGTAAGGAGCAGTGTGAACAGATGAGAAAAAAAAAATCCCCAAAGAGCAAGATAAAATGAAAAAAAAATCTGCTACAGAAGCATTTATTGGCATTCCAAATGCATTAATATGGCATGTAAAAATTATGACCATCAGCCTAAGGCACTGCAGTGCTGGTAAAAGACATCATGTGCAAGTAAAAAAAAAAGACCTTTAATTTTTATTTCAGCATATTTAAATCATTGGAAGAACTCAAGTTTGGCACATTCATACTCTCATGTAAGGAAACTGTATGCTGAATTTCCAACAGTTTTAACTGTTCACCTTCTTTCAGCTTTGATTCCATCTTCTGCTTGCAGTAAAGTTAAACATTCTTTTTTCCTTTTTTTTAAATGACATTTTTGTCTCACAGATTTAAATTAAATACATCAGTCTGAGTTATCTGGTTATTTGTCAATCTCGATTAATTCTCTATTTCTGCTTCTTCATCTTTCCTTATAATTGAAATAACTATTAAAATTTACCAAGTCTGACACTGGGAGATGCATTTGTTGATCCTATACATAAAACTACTACCTTCTATGCCAATTATATGCAACACTCTGGCACCATGATTCCAGTCAGGAATCCTTTGACACAGAAAAATTCCTTTGATCAGCTATATCACGGATTCTAATTTCCAAAGTATTTTTAGTTTTATTAAACCTTTGCTTATTCAGAAGTCAGAGTTCAAATAGGTACAGGAAATTTCACTTTAAAGGCATCTGCTTGGAACAATTACAAAGACTTTGAGGCTAAACTATACATTAGGGTGGAAGAAAAGTACAATGAAAGAATTTGAGCTAGTTTAAAATATTTAATTCAAAGTTCAGTATCCTTTTAACAACACACAAGCTCCTAATTAAATTATGCTAAACCTATTCTGCTTAAACCTGATCTTTACCTGACTAAATTTAAAATGGAATTTGCCAGTGGAACTGATTTATTGTAACTTTCATTGTTAAAATGTATGCTAATTTTATGTTTAGTTTCTAACAGAATACCACATCAAATTCTACAGTGTAAGAGCATGTAGTAGTCTCCATGGCACTGCTTCTGACAAAATAGAAAGCAGTCTTCTACATGGGAGGGGATAAATCGAGAAGTTCTAACTGCATTTAGGCTCCTGATATCTTCAGGAAAATAAAAAAACAAAACAAAACAAAAAAGCCCAACAAAACCAAAACAATGCCCACAGGCTTTCAGTGTAAAAACCCTTATGTTAGGCACCCTTATCATACATACGGATACAGCTACCCAGCTTGGGTTAGACAAGCAATTTGGTCATAACTGCCCCCAAGTTGCACTTCTTTACAGTTAATTTCACAGAAGAGATTCACACAAGTACTAGAGAAATTTGGAGAGGATGATTTAAAGATCCTAATTTCTAAACACAAACCCACAGTTACCATCTGTTCTTAAGGTGAAGCTCTTCTGAAGAAACAACTCTTTAGTTGCTATAAATCAGTGCTACCCCCCTTAACTTAGTTTCAAAGGAACCAAGCAATGTACATCAAACGTGGAATATGATTCACAAGAAGAATGATCAAGTAGCAAGCATTATATGGTTTTGTATCTAAATTATGTTCTCATTTTTCAAATGCATCTCCCAGTGTCAGACTTGGTAAATAGCCTGGCTGATAAACTGGGGGAAAGCACAGAGCCACAGGCGTGCACTGAATATAAGTGAAAAAAGTGTTTTCAGGGCCAATTATTAACTACTAAGAAAAGTGGTATGTATTTATACAAAGATAGGTAAAAACAAGCCCACACTTTGCCCTGTACCACAAGCTATTTCTAAGCCACTCAAGACTAAAACTGAACATCAGAGAGTATGAACTTCAGCTTCACAATTAACTGTGTCTGATGACAGCAAGTAACCTCTACCTCAAGGCTGCATTAGCCTTGTCAGTCTTTAAAGGTATCAGATATAACAAAAGCAAACAAACTCAAAGTAAATAAAAATATCTATAATGGGCTCTTTTTTACAGAACAACTACTTAGTACCAGACGTATGAACTTGGCAACTTGAACAGACATATAAGCAAAGGCAACTGTTTAAAAATTCTAAAATATATTTTAAATTCTAAAAGATAAAGGAACCCCTAGAGTACCTTTTTGCACTTATATACCTATATCTGTATGTATAGGTATATTTGGAAGAGATGCCTATCTGGAAACTTGAGAAGATTTTGAAAGAGCAAAAAGTGCTGAACAGGTTTGCTACTTCATGATCAAACTCCATAAATATCCAAAGCCATATGCATTGTTCTGCACAAAAATCTGCTGTCTGGACAAATCCTGTGAATGGCACAGGATAAATACATGCCTGGGGTGTTCTTTAAAGTTTTGTTCATCTGTGTCCTATAAAATATTTTTGTTACTTTATTTTAAACATTTAGAGTTTGATAGAAATCCTCCATGAAGAAACTGGAGAAATAAAGAGACCATGGGTAAGGCTGGAATTATGGATAAGTAGTATGGTTTTCCTACATGTGCTGAGAAATTTAGCATGGTGCAATGTGGTTTATCTGTTTTAGATTTGCCACCTTCTGCAATGAACAATGAATATGAAGAGGGGGATCAAGACCCTGTTTTCCACTGATCAATTGATGGCATCAAGAACCATCATGTATGCAATTGCATTTGTTCTATGTATACAGAGCACCTTCATTAAATGCAATTCCAAGCCCTAAATAAATATACTGTTTGCATAAAATTTTGGATGGAAAGTAAAAATTACTATCACCAACAAAGCCAAGATCCCTACAACCTCTCAATTTCCTGACATTCCAGATGCTACTACTGCCTATCCTCTCAGTAGAAACGTGTTTCTTTAATTTCTCACTATTCACTACCAGAGTCACCTGGGTTGGGGCAGACATGAGTGGGAAAAGAACTCACTGAGAACAGCCCTACAGAGATGGATTTTGGGGTTTAGGTGGATGAAAAGCTGGACATGACCCATTGATGAGCACCTGTAGCCCAGGAAGCCAAATGTTCTGGGCTCATCAAAAGCAGCATGGCCAGCAGGGCGAGGGAGGGGATTCTGCTCCTCTACTCAGCCCTGGTGAGACCCCACCAGGAGTGCTGCAAACTCCTCTGGGCTCCTCAACATAAGAAGGACATGTACCTGCTAGAGCAAGTGCAGAGGAAGCTCAGATGGCTTCTGTGCAGACAGGTTGAGAGAGATGGGGTTGTTCAGCCTGGAAGTCTAAAGAAACCTCTTAGTACCTAAAGGGGGACATATAAAAAAGAGGGGTTTTGCATGGGCAGATGATGATAAAACATGGGGGAAAGGTTATAAATAAAAAAAAGAGACTGAGAGTTATGAAGAAACTCTTGACTGTGAGGGTGGTGAGGCACTGGCACAGGTTGCCCAGAGAAGTTGTGGATGCCATAAACCTGGAAGTGTTCAGGCTTGGCTGGATGGGGCTTTCAGCAACCTTGTCTAATCCAAGGTGTCCCTGCCCAGAGCAGGGGTTTTGGAACTGGAGAATCTCTAATGTCCTTTCCAATGCAAACAATTCTGTTTCTATTATTCTATTAGCATTTCCCTCAGAAATACAAGCCAAGAGGGGAAAAAAAAAACATTGTCTGGCCAGTTCAGGGCAGAATTTAAATCAAACTCTGCTGCTCAAGTGAGTTTCTTGATCATGTGGGATGTTTAGACTCATCTTTCCTTCACTGTGTATCCAGTCCTTAAAAACAAATTGAAGTAAATAGTAAAATACCCTTTTTAATATGAGATATAGAATACCCTTCCAAGTAGCGTGAGATCTGAATTTTCACCTCTAGGTCAACAACTAACATGGTATCAGAGCATACGAAATGAAGAATTAAGCATATCCTGACACATGCATTACACAAGTAATCCACATTCTGATTTTTAATGCTTAAAAC